GCAAAAAGTGTGAGATCCATGATGCTAGAGGCTCGAGCCAGGCTGGCGCGCTCAGGAAGTTGAGTAGATCGGTATGAACTGCACTCTAAGGTCCCCCTGCGTTTTGGTGCGTAGCTGGAACTTTGTTGAAAGAATCAGCGTGGTGATGCTATGCACCCTGTACGAAATTGTCAGATGTGCAAGACTGACCAGGTCATCAGCTGTGCTGAGGGAGTTAGTGCACTGTGTGCTTCAACTAGGCCAAAGTCAGGGTCGACCTCGAGCCTTGCGAGCCAGTCCTCCCGGCGCCTTTCTTCCCAGGCGCTCAAAGCCGTCGTGGGAGTCAAAGAGGGAGGCGAGAAGGGAGAGGTATGGCAGAAGGTCTGAGTAGATGGCCACCCTGAAGTCAAGGATAACGTGCGTTTTGAGCTTGTTTGGCTTAGCTGAGCAGTGCACGATGTCCTGTGCCAGCTTGGTCTTGTCTGTGGTGATGTTGATCATGGAGTCAACCACCTTCAGTAACTTGCCGTACTCCGTCTTGTCCACGTGTTCTGGGGGGTTGCCCTTGGTAAGTTCGTGGAGAAGAACTAGGGAGACTGCATTCGAGCACGATCCCTCGGGGTGAGGTTCTCCTTGGCGCAGCTTCTTCAATCCTCCCTGCCAGGATTTCACGGACTCAACTAGTGCCTTCGAAAGTTGGTGGTCTTGGGGAAGTTTGTACACCAATGACAGCTGGTGTTGCAGTAAACTCATTTGGTCGTCGTGCACAAGGAATGCTTTGGTAAGCTCTTCCGGGCTCAGCGCCTGAATGGCGCCTGATAGTGCTCGAGGCTGGGTGCCTTGCCCGAGCGCTTGGACCGCCCCAGGTCCTTTCTGTCTCGGGATAGATTTGCGGCGCGGCTGGTCCTGTTGCCTCGGCAGGGCAGCGGCCTTGGCCGCAGGCGAGAGAGACTCGAGAGGAGGTTCTTCTGAAACTTCCATTCCCGGAGCGTCATCAAAGTCCGTGCCATTTCGGGAGCGTTTGTGCTCCGGACTCTTGACTGCTACAGGGGAAGCGGTCATGCCGGCCTAGTAGTCGGAGAGGAAGCTATACAAAAAGAGAAAAGAAATTGCGGTATGTGCATGTCCGCGTGCGCTCATGACACACTTGGCCTTGACGTGAGGCGGCCTATGTCAACTTCCAATTGACTATAGGCTTCTCACGCACGGGCGCCCTGCGTTGCCCCCAAGGACGAAGCTGGGCCGGAATGCATCACCTAACGATGATGCTAGCGAATTCGTTGCAAGAAAAGCATGTAGACATTCCTGGAGATGGACAGATTCAAGGCCGCTGAGGCCTTTTCCGGGAGCCTGTAGTCGTCAGAGATCCAAACCTGAGAGCTTGCATCCGCAGGGTCCTCCGGCCAAAAAGCGCGGTAGTGCCCAGAAGCAAGGGAGTCCCCAAAGTGGGCAACGCCTGCTATGACCTGATAGAGTCGCTGGGTTCGATCTTGGGCAACGTGGCGCGGCCTGTCCAAAGACATGGCTGAGTGTTCTGGACTCCATCCTGCCAGCGGCAAATCACAATCGCTAGGAGTTCAGGTGACCAGACAAGCGCTCGGGTAAAGGTCTGGGATTCCCACAACCGTAAGCAAGTCGATAATGTCAATGGGCCAGACGGGAGGGGAAGGAAGAGAGGGCTGACTCCCACGTCTGAATCTTCAACCTCACCATCTGTACGACCCTGCCACTGTGTTTGTTGAAGGGAGCCTAAAGGCTTGGACTGCATATGTAGAAGCAGCTCTGAAACGTCGTGCTTTCTGCCATCCAGTCGCCAGCCTGAAGTGGCATGGCGAAATTCAAACAGGCCGAACAGGTTCAGTAACAGGACTGACTGGAAAGCACCTAGATCATACCCAAAACTCGAGATCTGATGCAGAGCCTGGAAGAGAGCATTAGCGTAACACGAATTTGACGTGTTAGTCAGAGCGCGCTGGTGCACTCCTGCTGGTCGCATTTCCGCATGTCCAAGGGTCTGCGAAAAGGACTCCTGCTTGTCTGTCGTGGGTTGACGAGCTGTGCTCGACTGATTTGAGGCTGTGCCATTCGACCGTGACCTAAAGAAATGGGCTAGTGACTTCTCTTGGGGCTTGGAGGGGGGAGCTATAACTGCTTCCTCCGCCTCCGGTTGCCCTCGCAGCCACTGCGTGCTAACTTGATAAAGCACGGGGCATTGCTCCGGGTGCAGTCTGCGATCGTAAACCTTGTAACCGCAGAAGGAGCACGGGTGTCCCTTGGCAAGGTGGGGCGAGAAGCCCTGGCATATAAAGACTGCACGCTTGTGTAGCCTTGACCAGTCCTTAGGATGCGCCTGACGGAAGTGTGACTTAACTTTGGTGTGATCAAAAGTCCAGAAGTCACACGTGAGGCACCGATGGATCAGGACCCTGGCCTCCGCTGTCTTTGAGAGCACCGCTACTCGATGTTGTGGGAGCTGAGCAATGTCCTGTCGCAACTGAGAAAGGATCCTTACCTCAGGGTGACTTGAGAGTTTGTCTGTCGCATTCAGAGATCGAAGCTTCTGGGGTTCCGGGCATGCTCCTGACAACAGGTGGTCTCGAAGGCCTTTCCATTGATGAAATTTGCGCATGCAAGCGGCGCATTGCGGCATCCCATCCACCGCGTGGAGTTGTCGGTCGAAGCTTGAGGGTACAAATCTGTCAATGCTGGCTGGATGTACGCGCGACTTGTGTAAATGTAGTCCATTTGCTGTCTCGAAGGAGGCATCGCAGAGTGTGCACGCATGTAGGGCTACAGGGTGTTCAGCTGCTTCGGGGAGTTGTGATAGGAAGGACAGCTTGTCCCGGATGACTTGCAAAACCGAGTGCTCGGTTGTGATGTCTGGGCTTCTGGCTGCGCGTCGCTCAAGTTTGCGGAGTCTCTTCCTTAGCTTGATCTGCATCACTTGGACCGGATCCTGAATACTGTAGAGCTGGAAAAGATCCTTAGTGGTGATGCGGCTGGTATGTGCTGGCAAGTTCAGCACTGATCGCACCTTGTAAGCATGCCAACTACGTAGCTGCTTTGCCGACTCCTCACTTAGTCCGACGTCTGATAGGCCTGTCGTCAGTGTGCTCAGGACTGTGCTTTGCCAAACCTTGAGTCGCGACATTGTGCTCGCATACCTACGATTGTAGACAAATTGGCGGACTTGATGCAGCTTTTGCTTAGCCTCCCCTATGCGGTAATGCAATGTCTGCAGCTCGAAGTGGTTGTAGGAGATCATAACCCTCAGGTACTTGCTACAGGAAACCCACTGGAAGGCGGGGAACGATTTGTTGGGCCCGATGCGCCATCCGCGAACCTGCTCGCCCTTGGAGTTTGTGATCCAGCAGCCGTGTTTATTCATCACGTTTTGGGATTCTCTACCCGCCAACTTCACCAAGATGACGCACTTGCCTGTGTTGACTCGGAGACGGTGTTTGCGGACCTCCTCAAGTAACGCTGCGATGAGCGCATGAATGGCCTTGAGGTCCTTGTCGGAGCGGATAGTCCGATGGAGTGTGAGATCATCGGCGTATCCTGTCAGAAACTTCAAGACCTGCTCAGCACCGAATAGGTCAACTAGAGAGCGGAAAAGGTCGCCTGTAAGGAGCGAGAAGAGTGTGGGGGCGAGCTTACATCCTTGTTTTATGCCTGCTGTGGTTTCGACAGAGGTGGAATCTCCCTGCGCGTGAAGGACATAACGAGACCCGTCATGCAGAGCCTGAACGAGGTGGACTGTGTCCTGATCGGCCCCTTCTCTCTGAAGAAGGTCGATGATCTCTTGGCGAGAGACTGTGTCAAACGCTTGGCTTAGGTCAAGAGCGAAGGTGAGGCCGCCAACTAAGCCTGGGGCCTGAGTGCCTTGTTGCAAGGCATGTCTCGTGGGGTGGGCCTGTTCTAACAGGGATCGAGCCTCGCGCAAGTGATGCACCACGCGTTCTAGCGCGTCTGACAGCCCCCGACCTGGTAGATAAGCGAACTGTGGCATGTGCTTGAGGAACGAGAGGGTCAGTGGCTGAAGCGCTTCCCTGGCCGCTCCCGCCAGTCCCTTAGCGTCAGGTCTAAGGATACCCAAGGGTCTCAAGTTCGCTGGTTTGTCAGAGGGTTTGCCCGGCTTGGGAATTAAGCAGAGATCAGCATCTACGAGGTCTGATTCGAGGCTGTCCTCGGCCTGCTTGGATGCTACGTGTTTTGAGAGGATCGGTGCGACGATGTCGATACACAGTCTCCACACAGCCGCGGGTGCGGCTCCGTCAGGAACAGCTTTACCCTGACAACCCGTGTGCGCCGAATTAATGTAATCGTCCCTGTTGCCTGGAATAAACGCGCTTTCCAAAAATAAACGCTATTGTTTTATAAAAAGGTAATTTGTGGTTTTGCGGGGTCTGTTGTCTAATATACTCAGGATATATATATATATATATATATATATGTATATATAATGGTACAATGTCTGATCCCTGGCTATATAGCCCATGGATTCATCGGCGACGACGACGACAGACCGACAATGATGACAACTGCGGCTGTGCACCCATTCTTTTCTGAAGCACTCCGAAACGACCTGCAAGTCGGAAGCAGGCTCTGGCTCGCATGCAGCATGACTGCGATTATATTTGTGCAATGATCACCTGTACCGCCCAATCATTCAATTCTATATATATATATACATATATATATATATATATATATATACAAATAGGCATATATATATATATATGCTATTGATGCTCAGGGCTTTTCTACAGGGCGTGCCTTAGAGATTAAAGGTTTATATATATATATATATATATATGTATATATATATATATACTGAGGGATAGTCTGCCCGGTTTAGGGTGATCGATCTTTAGGGTGTATATACATTAAGGGAACTATACGGCTCTAAAGGGATAACTGCCCACCCAAGGTCTTAAGGTCAGGGAGTTTGAGAATTTATGGGTTCAGAAGTTTCGGGTTTATATAGTTTAAAGATTAAACATAAGTTGCTCACAAAATCAGCCGAGCTGCAAACGATCTAAAAGCGCCCGCATCTTCGTAAGATATCGTTGTGTTGTCCGGTAGCATGCTGTCCGTGCAGCTACTCTTCTGGATGTGCGGCTCACACGACCGATAAAGTCTTCATCAGTTTCACATAAGAATGCTGCACTGGACAGAATGTATTCGGAACCACGGAGCAGCTGATCTTGGGTTTCTCTGAGGAGGTGACACATGTAGTGGAGTTTGGGGCGTAACCGATATCCTGCCAAGCCTCGCTGCATGCCATCATTGGCTAGCCACAGGTAGCCACGAAGAAAGGTGTACCCAGCATGTACTTGGACTTGTGCACAAGTTCGTCGCAACCATAACGGATGCCCGTGCATCACTCCAATATAATCCAAGGCGCCTCGGGCGGCCTGGTGAATGGCAAGTAGTACATCTGAATCATGCAGGCCACAAAACAAGCCGGTCACAAAGTCAAGCCACATAAGAAGAAGCGTAACATCACTGCCTTTAGCATTGATCCAGCAGAAAGACTTATAAGACTTGAACTTCATGTTGTCCTTCGTGAAGCCCTTTGTGGCTGCACACTTCTTGTTGGCCAGTTGCCAAAGCTTGAAGCTCGAAAAACATCGCTCTAGACGATTCTCGATTGCAACAGAATCCCCTGCAGCATCAAACAGACCCATGCAGCACATGCGGATGATAGAGCTTGCAATGAAGTCTCGAAACACGCCGAATTTCAAGACATGGAACGGGTCAAACTTGTACATGAATGCACGGAAGCTACCGGAAAACGGTGCATGATTCAGGGGTGGAAGATCTTCCGCATGCCATGGGTCCGAGCTACCCACCGTTGGAGCCCAGCATGGCTCATCACTGGCATCAGTGAACGGCAGGCCGGGTGCACCGGCTGAACACCAGGGGCAAATCATCAGGTCGTTTTTGGTGCTCGACCTATGATACGACCTATTGAATTGCCCTGCCTCAAAATGCCATTCGGCATCACCCTTGCAACCCACTAGAGCGAATCTGATGCGGACACCCGAGGATGTAATGATCCCATGCTGAAACAATTGCTCTAGCTCCCGTGCCGTCTCTTTGAGGATGGCGGGCAGTGCTGCTTCATTGCGCTTGTACAACCTCGATGTGCAGGCGCAAATCAAAAACCTGCTGAGATAGGAGTGTCCCTTGGCATTGTGTCTCTGGTCATTTGTTGGGCAGTACCGTTCGGGGTGGCCTATGGGACATCCAGACATCTCAGCGTGAGACCTTTTGCCGGAGAGCCGCAATCTGTCACTGCATGTGGTGCTAAGATGCCCATGAACCTTATTGCGATCCCTATCGTCGTAGGCACACTTACGCAAAATGTGATCCGGCATGCTCCATGGAGATTGGAACGAGAAGACGAACACCGGTGATTTCTGCAGCGATCTTCCTTTGTCTCCATGAAGAAATAAAGGGATTGTGAACTCGGGATCCAAATCCTTGGGTGGGTTCTGAAACAGGATATGCTCTGGGTGGTATCCTCGGAAGCGCTGCCAAAATACCCGGCATGCAGTCTGACTTTCCTTCCCTATCTTGTTTCCTGCCAAGATCAACTGAGGATACTTGTTCAATAGAAACGTGACATAGTCAGACACCTTGATATAAGGAATGCTTACATCATCGCAGGAGCTGCTGCCAGGTACGTGTAATTCAGAAACCTTGACCCTCAAACTAAGCCCGAACCGATTGAACAGCCGATGGGCATTCCTTTCCGAATGTGATTTATCTACCTTGGCAGCTGCCTGCATGCTGCTGTTCTTCAGGCCATCTTTGATGGCAGCTGCTGCAGACTCACCCACGATCGCAGCTGGGGCCTGAATGGACAAGGATTTTTTAGGTTTAGGATTGCCCCAGGCTTTCAAGCAGTCCATTAACTTGTTCGGGTATATATACATGCTCTATCTATCTATCTATATATATATATATATATATGTATATATATATGCAACGAAGCTTGTAAGATTGGATATTGTACCATCCGAGCATGTTAGGGATCTATAGCCAACGAACCCCTAGGGCCCTGGCCCCATCTGCAACCCGCTCAGCCAGCGTACGGAGTAACTCTGAGGGTTTCTCTTCACCTGGCCACATTCAAGGGCACATATGATGATTTAATGTGTGGCGCACATGCACTCGGCAAAAGCAGATCTTAGTATTTTCCCCTCGTCGCATCCCCTGGGCTGTGCTTCCGGGGTTGCAGGTCTTGAGCACCCACACCGGGGTGAGACAAAACATTCACACGTGAAGCATTGCTTGTGCACTTCTGCTACAGCGTGGAACCCAAGTAAATGATTCATGCAGATATATATTTCCATATAGTCGCACAGTTCAATACATCACTCAGTCATCGTCATCATCAGGAGCCCCCCGCTTTTTCGGGGCAGCCTTCGCCTTGACCCTCTTAGCTCCACTCTTAGGCTTAGATTTGGGTGCTGACTTCGGCTTGGGATCCTCTGGCTCCTCATGCTTGACGGCCTTTGGCAGGAGTGTCCTGCATTGTCATTGTTGGTTGCAAGCTTCTGGGGCTTTATAATCTTGGGGTTATACAGGGGGCTTAGGGATCGGGATTTGTTCTTATGAGGGATCTCGGAACTTAGGGGTTTTGGAGATTCGGGATTTAAAAATGTCGATATATTTATATATACGTATATATATCTACACACATATAACATGCATATATATATATATAGATATACAATTATCTTGAGTATTACATGATAAACTTAAGAACAGTCACTATATAACACGAAGTCCCCGACCCTGAGCCCCTGAGCCACTATATCATTCCTTTATAACAGGTTCCTGAACAAACAACGGCAAACATAAACACATGTGCACAACAGCACCACAAAGCAGTAATCCTAGGCTTTGTGTGCAAACCCGTCCTGGCTCGGCTCTCCAAGCCACTGGCCTCTATCACCCTTAGATCCCAGCTTCTTGAATATACTCCTATGTTCCCACAGCATGACTCTGCAGATGTGGCACATCCGGCGAAGTGCGGCCATTGTCTCATCGAGCATAATCTCATCCCTTGGCGGGACTAGACTGCACATATCCTAACTAAATCTTGATATGTAGAAAGGGTCTGTGTTAGACCATCCTCGTATGGTTGAAATGCAAGGGCTTTGACTACATACATTCGGGGTCGGAAACTTTGGCTAAACTTGTTTCTTGAAAGCACCGGTTATACCAGCGCCTAGGATTTGAGTCTCAAGGTTTGAGCTTGGGGTTCAGGGCTCAGGTAGGGCTGTGCGGACTTTAACTTGCTAGTATAGGGTTTCGCTAATGTAAATCACCGTTGACAACTGCGGGCTATGTACGAATCCACCAGGAATGTACAGAACATATCCAATCCTACCTAGCGGCCTCAAGAAGTATAACTATACTTAGTGATGGTGTACCATGTAGTACTAAAAAGTACAAGTACTAGTAAGACTATTTATATAGTACTATATAGTACAGGTATACTAGCACTTGCATTATAATTCGAATATATATATATATATATATATACTACTATATACTACGAACTACCACTACCACTTTACTACGACTGCTACTATATCGCGATATTTGCTACTATACACTACTACCACTGCTACAGCTACTACTATAGTAGTATACTACTATACTATAGTACTACTACTACTACTACTACTACTACTACTACTACTACTACTACTACTACTACTACTACTACTACTACTACTACTACTACTACTACTACTACTACTACTACTCTACTACTACCTACTACTACTACTCCTACTACCTACTCTACTACTACTACTACTACTACTACTACTACTACTACTACTACTACTACTACTACTACTACTACTACTACTACTACTACTACTACTACTACTACTACTACTACTATACTGCTACTACTGCTACTACTGTACTCTAATTACGAATGCTATTGCTGCCACTGCCAGTGTGAATGGCAATTGCGACTGCTATTGCTGCTACTACATATACAACGACGTACCTTGCTGCTATATATATATATATATATATATATTATATACTACACTTATACTACTATATACTACTACTGCTATACTACCACTATACTCCTACTACTACTACTACTACTATTACTACTACTACTACTACTACTACTGCTACTACTACTACTACTACTGCTGCTGCTGCTGCTGCTACTGCTACTGCTACTGCTACTACTACTATACTACTACTACTACTACTATACTACTACTATACTGCTATATACTACTGCTATACTACTCCTGCCGCTGCTGCTGCTGCTGCTGCTACAATGTCTGCTGCCATACCATACTCACTACTCTACTACTGCAACTAACTGTATTACTGTATACTGCTGTACTATATATAGTATGATCCGAGGTTGGCCACACAACTTCCCTTGGCCCGCGAAAGGCCGATGTGCTTCCAGATTTCAGGGTGTGGCTGCTGGCTTACAAGATTCAAGCTTCGGATCTGGGTTCAGGTTTTAGCTAGATGCGAAGATGCCGATCTGGGTTATTTTAGTCTAGTGGTTCTTGGTCAGGAGTCGGTTGCACTTATCAGATGCAGATCCGATCCTTACTGATTTCGGTGTGCAAACAACTAGGATCCAAGTGGATGCTCGAATGTGGGGCTAACAGGGAGTACATATACAGTATGCGTGATGGCATCGGGTTCTGTGCTGGAATTCTGGGAACATGAACATCATCACCCCAAGCCTGAACCTAAACATCCTAACTACACCAGTGCCAACAAAGAGCTGCTTTGTGAAGCCATCCAGTAAGCCCTTGGACTGGGAAGCTTGTAGCCGATCATGGCCCTCGTCGAGGCTGGTGTACATCGCATCCAGTCGAAGCTTCATCCTAGGAGCGATCATGTTTTGAGTGCATGTACATACGGTTTGGTTCAGTAGCTGAGGGCAGGTCTTCGACATAAGCTCGCTGGGTGCAGCGATCTTGTCGTACAAACAACGAACATCACCCATCATCTTCAGCCTCTTCGTAATCGCATCCAGCGCTTTACCTATGATGCTGGAAGGCTTGGCTGCTTCCGCGAGCTCCGGAAACCCAAGCCGCTTGATCGTCTTCGCAAGCTCTTCGTTGTGGGAGTTCTGGGCTAGGCTTGCGGCTCCGTCCGGGGTTGCTCCTGGGCTGTACAGGATTCTAACTATATAGTCATTGGTCGAACATCAAATAGTTAGGGCTAAGTGGCCTTCCTCAATCATAAGATTTGGCAGGGCGGTGGCGTCGAGGTCCATGTCAAGCGTGCCCGAAGTATCATCAAAGTGGCTCTCGTCTCTGAGGTTGATACGTTCTGTGTCCCTAAGATATGCACCGAGCCGGCCTTTTATGACAACAGATTATGCTTATAATAATATAAACCCTAAACTCCTAAACCCCTTAAGTAGAATAGCAGCTCAGACACTTCTTGTGGCCTTTGACTTTCAGCTCGCAATAGTATCGCCACGTGTTTCTCTTGTACGGGTGCTTCCTTAGTCGTGCATGCAGGCTAGGATCTAAGCGCTCAGGATTTGAAGTGGTTCATGGGGTGTTTCTTCGTATCAGGGACAAAGATGTTTTGTAGAGATTACAATTCAGTGAACAAGATTGTGTTTTGAAGTAGACAAGCAACTTCATCATCTTTTCCGGGTTCTTCTCGGCTTCGGCCACACAAGCGTCAATTTCATCCCTTGGGGCGGCAGATGAGAATTAAGGTATATAATATATATATATATATATATATATATACATATATATATATATATATATATATAACAAATGGGAGCTCAAGCTAAGCTTCAGAAGAGGCACGGTGACATGTTTTGGTCGTCGGCCATTTCCTGAGTTCTCTATAGAGTATGTATATATATATATATATATACATATATACATACATACATACATATTTCATGTGTGCTTTCATGGTTTATTATGTGATATATTATATTACACCACAATGTAATAGAGATACATATATATATATATATGTCTATATATACACATAATATATGTATATATACAGATGTATTTATATTTATATTGATTGATTGGTTGATTGATTGATTGATAGGTAGATAGATAGATAGACAGTTATAAACAGATATAGACAGATAGGTAGATATAGATATAGATAGTATAGGCATAAGCAGTTTCATGGTATCTGGTACTCGTATAGTTTTATCATGGTCTATCTATCTTTCTTAAATTTATTATCATGGTCTAGAATATATATATATATATATACACTGCATGATTTATTCCTACTGTTGTTCTTGTGGTAAAATACGGGTTAGGGTTTTAGGCTTCTTGCAGTCCCATACACCTGTTTCGTCAGAAACTCAAACTCCACACCGATCTGCATCTCTCTTTCGGAGTCCCGGGTGGCCGAGAACCTTTTTATGAATGCTTCGGTGTTGTTGCCAACCTCGGCGAAGAGCTTGAACACACCCTCTTTGCCTGCCCCCTTCCATTGCTTTCTGATCTCCTCAGAAACTTTGAACTCACCTTTGGCATTGGGCTCCATGGCCCGGTTGATTCGCTTGAGCAGGGTAAGCCGGCTGGGTGCTTCTGCAGTCTCTCTTCTGCTTGGCGGCAGATTGGGGGCAGGTGCTACTCTGGTGGGAGCGGCTTGGGGCTCGGGTGTGGTGTGCTCTGGGGTCGGCGGGCATGGCTCGGTTGGGGTGCAACCTCCGAAAGACAGGCATCGCTGCGGGGGTTGGGCATCCTGTGTCCAAACTTCTGTCGAGCTCCGGTTGGGTGGTGCTTGCGGCGTGCTGTTCATGTTTGCCTTTGCTGTTTCAAGCTTGGCTCTGGCCCTTGCCAAGTTCTCCTCATACTGCCTAGCATCGGCTTGTGCCCTTGCGAGCATCTGCGCCGACTTCTGCTCATCTTGCAATGCTTCGGTGATCTCGGTTGCAGCCTGCTGGGCCTCTGCTTGGATTTGCTCCTCAATCCGCCTTGCTTTAGCAGCAGCTGCTTCTGCTTCTGCTTCCTGGTTCCTTCTTTTCACTTCGGCAACACGTCTGTTTGCCAAGTCCTCCCTTGCCCTGGCTTCTTGTGTTTGGTTGCGTAGGAACTGCTGGGCAGCCTCCAATTCTGCTAGCTCTACTGCTGCTGCGGCTGCTTGTGCTTCAAGCTCCATCCTTCGGGCCTTTTCTGCTGCTGCCAACTCCTGTCGTTCCTCTTCTGCTGGGGCCTTCTTTTCTGCTGCTGCCAACTCCTGTCGTTCCTCTTCTGCTGGGGCCTTCTTTTCTGCTGCTGCCAACTCCTGTCGTTCCTGCTCTTCTGCTGCGGCCTTCCTTTCTGCTGCTGCCAACTCCTGTCGTTCCTGTTCTTCTGCTGCGGCCTTCCTTTCTGCTGCTGCCAACTCCTGTCGTTCCTTTTCTGCTGCTGCGGCCTCCTTTTCTGCTGCTGCTAGCTCCTGTCGTTCCTTTTCTGCTGCTGCGGCCTTCTTTTCTGCTGCTGCTAGCTCCTGTCGTTCCTTCTCTGCTGCTGCTGCCTTCTTTTCTGCTGCTGCTAGCTCCTGTCGAACCTTTTCTGCTGCTGCTGCCTTCTTTTCTGCCTCTGCTAGCGCCTGTCGAACCTTTTCTGCTGCTGCAGCCTTCTTTTCTGCCTCTGCTAGCTCCTGTCGAGCCTTTTCTGCTGCTGCAGCCTTCTTTTCTGCCTCTGCTAGCTCCTGTCGAGCCTTTTCTGCTGCTGCCGCCTTCTTTTCTGCTGCTGCTAGCTCCTGTCGTTCCTTTTCTGCTGTTGCTGCCTTCTTGTCTGCTGCTGCCAACTCCTGTCGTTCCTGTTCTTCTGCTGCGGCCTTCTTTTCTGCTGTTGCTAGCTCCTGTCGCTCCTTTTCTGCTGCTGCGGCCTTCTTTTCTGCTGCTGCCAACTCCTGTCGTTCCTTTTCTGCTGCTGCGGCCTTCTTTTCTGCTGCTGCCAGCTCCTGTCGTTCCTTTTCTGCTGCTGCCAGTTTCTTTCCTGCTGCTGCAAGCCTTTGTCGTTCCTTTTCTGCTGCTGCGGCTTTCTGTCTGGCTGCTTCTAGCTGCTGCTTCTTCTGTTCCTTTAACCTGTTGGCTTCGTCATCATCTAGTCCTTCCTCTGCTGTGTTATCTGCATCAACTTGGGTTTCTTCTGTTTCGGCTGCGGCTGGAGGCTCCTGTTCTGTTTTACATATAGTTATCACATATGTAGGGATCGAGCCATGAATATATTTTTGGTTTATACATATATATATATATATATAGTGAACTAGATATAATATATGTGTATATATACGTATAAAATATAGATATTATATATAGTATATCTATCTATATATATATATATGTATATATATATATGCATATCACACTCAGCAGTCAACAGACACCATAACCACACAACCAATGCCTGTCCTGGACACCCGTGCCTTTCATCTTCTCAAGCTTCGAGGACAATGCCTGATTTCAGCATGATTCTCTAGATATCCTAGGCTCGACAAATCAGAATCAGGATTTCAGCAAGTGGCCCACCTGAATTTGTTTCATAATCTCTGCTTCATCATCCGGTGGTTCTTGTTTGACCACACCATCATTGGCGATCTTATCCAAAAGCGCCAAGCCCCGACCCAGCGTGCGGGTGGAGCTGGGCACAGTCTCAGCACTGCCCTGTGAGTGCATTTTGAGCAAAATCTGCAGTTGTCGAGTGTCAAAAATACATAGCCGGGGGCCTACCGCAGATTTCCGCCATTGTACCGCGGATTTCCGCCATTGTACCGCGGATTTCCGCTATTGTTTCGGGGGTGGGTTTCGCGACAAACCTGGCAAAACACGAGAATCCAGCCGAAAATGCGATTTAGCATGACTTTTGCACTCCAAGCTGCATGTGGGTCCCGGAACTGCGATTCAGCATGAATTTGTGCTCCAAGCGGCATGATCCGGCCCGTTAGGGTCGTTTCGAGTTATGCAATCAAATTAGTGCATATACTGCATGGAAACACACAGCCTGTATGCTTTAATCAAGGATACGTATACTTAGGAATCAAAGATTTCAACTGCTGTGGCAGCTTCAGCAGCCCACTGGTCCTCAGATAAAGAACGACCTCTCCAAGGTCAGCCTCAGACCACTCATCTGCAGCCCTCCAAGAAAGGTCCCCGAACAAGTCATAGATATTCTTCTCAGGAGAAGCCTGAGTGGGCTTGGGTTTCACAGCTTGGGGTGCCTAGTATTTACGAGTCTAGGCTCTCTGGGGAATACATCGGGTCCCGGGTCTGGAAGGGCCAACCCGAATCATAATATTGGCGACCAACATTACATGTATATAATAACGTAAAAGCTGCAAATAAGAGCCCCAGCCACAGTCTTTAGGCTTTAGCTTTGCAAGAGTTCATACATAGTTCATATTGCATATATATATATATATAAGTATCGATGTATAGTATAGGGTTTCTTGGCCTTGGGATATAGAGTGTGTAGAATTTTACAAACGTGCTTTGTAACCTTTACATAATTTGTGAAATATATGTATATATATATATATATATATATTTATTTATTTATTTATACAGAGAGCAGGGTTTGGGGGTAGGGTTGGGGTTTGGTGCCTTTTGGGTTTGGGATATTAGGTTCATGCTCAGGAGTACAAAGCCGCAAATGAAAACCCAAACAAATCCTCGTAGTCAGTGTGCATAATATCCTCCCTCTATATATATAGTGTGCTGCTATGGTCAAGATCGATGTGTACTTAAATCGGGGATTACGACCTGAGCCCCAATAGATTTTAAGAAAGAAATATACCGAGCATAGGGAACCCTAGAGTACCCCCATAGGATCCTTATTAAACCGGGCACCGAAATAAGGTACCCTATTTTCGGAAACTGCCAAGAATGGGATTTAATTCTACAAACCCTTTCAACAAAGGCGGTGGCCTCGGCGGGCTTGGGCCGCGGAAGCTCACGTGCAGGCAGGACCATGTTCACCACCCGGCGAGAGAAGATGGCAGGGTAAATCCTCGGCAGGTGTATGTAGCCCAGACCGTTTTGATTTCCAGAGAAGTTCATTAATGCATTAGAGCAAGGCCAGCACATGCTGAAAGGTCTTCCGATCCCAATCCTATAATAGGTGTAAAGATATTTATAATCTAGATGTACAGCAGTCACTAGGACTGATCGTAACGTTGCTTTTCTGCAACCGTGCCACCCTGTAGACTTCAATACCTTCGTGCCCTGGAAACACCTTCGGCCATGCTGATCCGTGTACTGGTGCCCCGTTTTGTACTTGGGCTTGAACTCCTTCCGAACCAACTTCCCCAAGTCGAAAGCCTTGATGGAAGGGGAATTGCTCCAGAGTACACTTCGCTTAGGACACGGGTGCCCATGATGAGCCATCCAAAACCGTTGCACATAAACCTCAGTTCGCTATATGGCCAAATGCCAAGCAGTCTGCGTGGATAATGTGCGCATTACGAAGGATTGAATGAACTGACTGGTGGCAGGGACTCCAGCCTGAGACAGCACTTTGAACAGCCACTGCATGCGAGGGTAGTGATGGATTCTTGTTGACCCTGGGTTCTCCACATACCACACGTGTCCCAGGCAGCTCAGCAGGACGAGCAGGAGGATGGACCTCCCGGCAGCAATTAGCGGGCAAGGGATTATATACCAGCCCCTCCAAAACCCAGTCATGGATTGCAACTTGAAAGTATATAGGCACCTTGAAGTACCCATGTTCGCAACATGCACCGATGGTTTTGACACATCCCCCCAGCCATTGAAAGGGCATCGACCTGAGGTCCCGGAATTGATTAAGACGAAAGAGCTGCATTCAATTCCAATAGCAGCGAATGCCCCTTCTGGATTTCCGCAGAGCACCATGAGAACGGCAAGCCTCGGATGGGCTAACCGTAGCTTCGTTCATGCAGGCTTGGGTTTGGGAGGGTTTGGCAGTGTATGATTACGAAGCAAATTATACGGCTTCGGGGAGGCTGTGCGGGGTTTAGGGTTGGGTTTATGGGTTTTGGGGGTTATTTCGGTTTGGCTATCTATAGGTGTAAGTGGAGCAAGATCGGTCTGGGTTGCCAAGGATTGAGAAGGGAAGACATATATATATGTATATATATATATATATATGTGTGTATGTATGTGTGTATATATATACATGAATATGACCAGTACATATGAACATATTCAAGATATATATATATATATATACACATGCAAGATCGAACATCGGTTACATACGGTTTATTTACCCATGCTTAATATGTAATCTGTTGCGAGCACGTGGCGCAAAACCAGCTGATCCACATATGTTCAAAGCTGATTTTTTGGTGTTCCAAGGAGAATCATAGATCATGTCGGCTGTGATAACCCGGAACCCAGCTGCCCGGCCCATGCGTGAAATTCGCCCTCGTCCCGCGTAGAGCTCGATAAGGTCGAATCCATTCGGTTCCCGAAAGGACTGAGGCAAGGGGTCAGAGCATGCCATCATCAGCACCACTGCCAGGAATGCCTCGGCTCTATAGTGTATATGTATATATATATATATATATATATATGTTTATATATTTAATTATAATTAGGGGGGTCGAAGTTAACAGGTTAACGTAGAATTTGCTCCAAAAGAACTTAATGCCAGGATGCCTTAGGGACATTCAAGCCCACCAAGCGTCGAACACAGGATTCCAGTGCATCTGAAGAAATCATGGCAGCTATCCTCGACCCCCTTTAATCAAAAGCTCTGGCAGAAGGGGGTTGCATGTACACATCACATGATGACATCCCAGCATGCATCAAACAAGCCAGCCCAGGCTGATCTCCAGTCGGCCTTGCTTGGCCAGGAAGCTTTGCCCACGCCGCATGCCTTAAGCTGTCAGGGATTATGATTGATTGTTTCATCAAGGTTGCAGTCGGCTCTGCTTCATGCACGAACATAAGCGATGCTGCCGATGATGCTGCAAACGCTTTTCTCTAACCCCATAATCTGTGAAGCTTCAGAGCATCCTATTGAATTTGAGACTGCAGCATGCCAGCAAACGTGTTGCCCGCATATTTCTATGCAGGTTCTGGCACGTAAGTAAATGGCAGGCCTATGCAGAGTGCTAGCGTTGCTTCTGCAAACGAGCACAGTAACTGAAAATGCTGGTCATCGCTCTTCTGCTGAATTTGTCAGCAGATACTCACGAGCGGCTTTGCGGGCAATCTTCTTGTAGTCATCAGGCGTCCCCTTTTGGGGCAGTTGCGGCTTCACTAGCAGCCAGAAGGGATCCTTGTACAGGGGTCGATGGCATCTATTGGGTTTTATAAACATGTACAAGATTACGATAATGGGCTATTTCATGTGTACCCTGAAAACGTCATATAGTCATAGATTGCTAGATCTTTCTCTAGTTAGGGAGCAGCAGAGTCCTTGTGTGGTTTGAGAGTTCAGGGGTTTTGGAGTGAGGTTTATAGGGTTGATCATAACAAAAACAAATAAATATATATATATATATATATATATATATATATGAGGCAAGGGTTCGTGGTGCGGTTGGCATTCAATAAGAAACCTGGACTTCGGATATATATATATATATATATATATATTCATTTATTTATACACATGTCATATAATATATTTGAACTTTTATGCTAAGTATATACATTAAATTTATCAAACCCTAATTAAACCCCTAAACCCCTACACCCCTACACCCCTACATCCCTACACCCCTAAACCCCTAAACCCCTAAACTCCTAAACACCTAAACCCCTAACTATATCGATTCTGTAAACCTGAAACCCTAGAATTCCCAAGCTTCCTGCATCGATCGCTGGAATATTTAATATGCTGAAGCAAACAATCCCGTCCTGGTGTTGCGAGGGGTATCGGAACTGCGAGTGGATCTTCTCAAAGAAAACATCTCGGATCATTTGCCACCGGAGACCAGTATCCTCTCCCTTAGGACGGGGCCTTCCAGCGAAGCTCTTTTCCTCGAAATTTTCAATCCGTCGGCGCTTCCTCGTGGCTCCCGAGGCTGCTGCCTCATCCACCTTCCCCTTGCTGGGCGTCTCGGCGGCTGCATCTGCAGCTTTGCTTTTCGTCGGCTTCCCGGATGACTTCATAGCTTTGGGTGTCTTAGGCTTCTTGGTTGATGGCTTGGATCCCTTTTCTGGGGTCTCGAGGTCAGTACCTTCGGCACGTGTGGGTCTGGTTGCCTTCGGACTCGGAGTTGCAAGATCTACATCTTTAGCAGCCTTGGCACCACGACCCCGACCTCTACCCCTCCCCTGGCCCCCACTAGCACGGCCACCACGGCCGCGACGAGGTTTACTTGCCTCGCCCAGGCGAGCTTGCTCAATCCGCGACGGAGCTTCCTGCAGGGACACAATTAATTAGCCGGGTTTAGATAAGGCCTGTCTTCGGAAGATTCGGTTCTATATAGGTATCACACATTTTATATGGTTCTCTCTCTCTCTCTCTCTATATATATATGTGTGTGTATATATATACACACAAATCTTGTCGACCTTTACTTTCCAGCCAGTGCTTAGGAAAACTTACAGACCCATAATTGCATAAAAATATATATATATATATATAATAAAGCATTTATTTATATATATATATATGTATATATGTATATGTATATATATATATATATGTATATATATATATATATATTATAGGTATATATTTGTACACTCATACCCGTTCGACCGAAGCCTCAACACATGGGTTGCTTTTAAATCTGCAATTATGTATGAGATATTATTTGTATATATTATAGCCACTTTATAAAACCTCCCGGAAGCTGCAGCAGAACGGCTTAAATCTTCAGCCCGCCTGGAAGTTGTGAACATCGAACCCCCCAGCTGCCGTCACAAGGTTAACTGCCACATCCGGAGCATCTTTGGAGGCACCACTGTCAGCTTCTGCCTCACCTACGGGCTCGGCATCATTCACTGCCTCACCTGCGGGCTCAGCTTCTGTAGCATCACCATTCATCTCACAAGCCTTTGTTGCTGCCTCACCTGTGGGATCAGCTTCTGTAGCATCACCATTCATCGTGCAAGCCATTGCTGCTGCCTCACCTGTGGAATCGGCTTCTGTAGGATCACCATTCATCGTGCAAGCCTTTGTTGCTGCCTCACCTGCAGGATCGGTTTCTGTAGCATCACCCATCATCGTGGTGTCCATGGGAGCAGGAGTCTGATCTTCGAGAAGTTGTTGCTCCAACTCTTGCTCCACTTCACCAACGAAAGCGCTGAAGTCTTCATACACATCTTCACGACAAACCCTGGGGGAGGTCGGCTCAGCAGCTGGGGCTTCATCATCACTGATACAAATCGCATCAACCTCCATGGAAGAGCCGAGGCCCATGATGTCAATGGGGCACGTGTCCATCGCTGCAGGGTCACCACCTCAATCTCACCAGATATATTGTATACGAATCTAGAGACACATGCAAGACAACGAACAGATCGCTCGAAACCCACTTGACATGTCAGGCGGCTCGGACTTGCACCCTCTTGCCGAAGCCTGGCTGCTGCATCTGCTTCACGAATTGCACGGCGAGCTGCCAAAACGTTCCTTGGACAGGGGAGGTTTGAAATGTGTGGCATATTGGGAAGTCAGTCATGTAAATTATTTCGAGGTTCTGCAGGTCACGAAGTTCCAGCTCTAGCTGTCGGATTGTCTCGTCTCTCGTGGAGCTGCTGCCTTGGGGTGCATGCACGTGGTCACATGCAAGCTAGCTTTCCTGTGGAGAGTTAAGAAGATCTCTTTGTTGAGTCGAGCAATTTTGGCCAAAGTTACTGGTTCCGGAAGCAGAAGGAGCTTCAACCTCAGCTGCCGGCGGCGCCGCCGGAGCATCTCCTTCATCCTCCTCAGGGTCCTGACCCCAGTACTCCGTCATAATGTCGAAGAGGATCATGAGGGTACGGTCCTCAGATCATCCCGCTGAGTGTAGATTATTCCGGCTTAATTCAAGTGATGTGGGAAGTTTCAGAGCTCTGCATCTGATATAGTTAAGTGTCGCAGGTAGGTATCTAGATCATTATCTAATCTCTACACGAGTCCACAGGGTAGCTCTTGGCTGTTGTGGTTTCAATTGATCGGGTCGGTTCTTTCATAAGCATATGAATCTAGCCCCAAGTTCAGCTCCTGAACAAGTATATGTATGTATCTATATACATATACCATAGATATAGGTTTCGACACTATCTCAATCAATGCTCTTAGGTATAGCTATACACTAACTTCAAAGCCTTGGTTTTGCAGGATAGGCTAGTGCATGGTCCACAATAAAAATAACCGCCAACCTATTTGGATAAATAATTTGCTTTAAAATCTTAGTGCGCCCAGATTCTCTGAGGGATTTGATGGGTGCCTTCCATCTCCGAATTGCGAGACTGATCAGCCGCTTGACCCCCCAAGCATCACAATATGCGCCGATTTGGTTCTGCTTCGTCCGGGTGGTCGGGTCAGAGCCAATGGCAGGGGTGAAGAGGTTGTAGAAAGCTAGCACCTTCAAGGCTGGTAAAATTAGGCTCGGGGTACAAATACCAAATGAATGTTCATACTGTGTAGTTTTCAAGTCGGTATATATACACCTATATATAGCCATATACTATAACCACACTATACACCCAACCCATACGATGCCTAACTTCCTTACTGAGAGACCTTTACCCATATATATATATATATGTATATATATACATGCATAGATTAGCTGAAGTTAATATATAATATGTACCTAAACAAACCCTTCGAAACCCGAAAGAGCTTGTAAACCCTACAAAGCTTGTAAACCCTGTTGACTCACAAATCCTGTGAACCTTGCTGACTCTCTGAACAAAGTCAGCTATGCAGAGAGATAGGGATATAGAGATTTATATATATATATAGAGAGAGAGTTATATGGAGATATATAGAGAGAGATAGAGACAACTAGAGTGTGATTTTACCCTCTGGCCTCTTGCTTCAACCAATCGATTGGAGGGCTCTTGGGGGTTGGGCATTCTTGGCACCAGACCTTCAAAGCCTCCGCCACGACTAATTTGTTCATGGAGAGTGTCTTCAGGGAAGCCGTTCCTACCAGCTCCTTCTTTGGCCAAACCAGAAGATGTCCATGCTCGCGGAAGCTTTGCCTAATGCTAGCATCACCTTCCCAAATCTGGGTCAACTTCTTTGGCTCAGGCCAGTCCTGGCACGGAACGATGGCGCCATTTTGTTCCTCAGCCTCCTCAGCCATGACCTTGGATCCTACCTGGGAAATCCTGAGGTTGAAAGCTGAGCCCGCTTTCCGGAGGAGTTGCATATTTACGGCAGAGCGCAGGACATGCAATCATGACCATTGGCATCAAGCGAAGCAAACACCCTGCCAACACCAGTGGTTGTATGGGGCCCCGGCTGAACAGTATCTCCAGCACAATGACAATCCGCAAAATCTGACCTCCGGGCCGGTTCAAATTAAAGTAGGATCGATGGGAACTGATTCAGGTTCCGGCCTCCTGCTACCACCATCTGCAAGCACAGCGCTGCCTGCCTGGTCGAGGCCATGCTTCTGGGGTGATTGGTTTCTAGAGTAAACTATAGCAAGATCCACCGGGCCAGGCACCTCAAAACTGTAGCTGGGGTGTTTGGGTCAGCAGCGAGCCATGCCAACCTGCGTGGGGATCTATACCGATATATTCAGCAAAGTCGAGACGGCTCTTACGAAGCAACGAGTGCTCACTCTCAAAGATTTGAACTGCTGTCTCAGTGCACGTCGATCTATAGCCTCATTTCTCAACTGCAGGCTCTGATGGCTGAAGAAGGATACCGCCTGCGGC